TGTGTGTGTGTGTGTGTGTGTGAGAGAGAGAGAGAGAGAGAGAGAGAGAGAGGATGAGAGAATGAGAGAATGAATAGGTGAGGTGGGTTATGTGGAGTTCCTGTAATCAGGGTCCTGTTATATTAGTGTCCACTCCTCCACCACAACCCATAATAATCCTATTCCCCTGCCTACTGTAAAGGGAAGCTGTGTCCTGTCACCTTTTTGCCCTTTAGAGCTCCGGTCGGCAGTAAGGAATTGTTCCTGGTGGAGCCCTACTGTCTCAGGACGCTGTCCTTGTCCAAATAAAGATTAGAGATTGAAAGAGTAAATAGAATAAATCATTGGAAATCAGGAGTTCATTCAGATCTGCAAAATGGAGCATTCACAGATGACCTAAGCAGCATGAAACCATAAATGGTGTATGTTTGTGGAGAAGGAAGCAGACTTATGAAGTCAGAGACCAAAGGAATGGGATAAAAAGTAAATGTCAACCACGCATGCAGACTCTTTAATTGTCCATGCTTGTCCCAAGCATCCTTACAGCCCACGGATATTCTATTTCCTGAGGCTCCAGGTGGTGAAAGGAATAGCCCTTGGAGATGCTATCGTGTGAGTCTGACTCACAAGCCTTTCAAAAGTAGCCTCACATGAGGAGATATTTGTGTCACCAAGTGGGGGATTCCTATTAGGAGCTAGATTGTCCAGCAACTGGAGTTCAGCAGACCAAGAGGCACGTCTTTCTTACCTTTATTCAGCCTGGAATTGATATGAGAATTAAATGAGTTAATATTTGTAAAACAAACAAACAAAAACCTTAGTGCCTTGTGCATAGTAAGTGGAATAAAGTATTTGTTCACTAAATCAAATCAAGTCCCACAGTCTTTCATCTTCCCAGACTCATCGCCAATAAAAGAAGTGATTGACTAGGAAGGCATTCTGCGATAGAGTGCAGATTTATCATCTTTATCTAACCAGTGTAAAAATCATCTGGAATTCCTTATAATGCCTTTCTTCTGACTGGCCACCTAAAGAGTTTCCCCAGAGACACAGAACCAAGGAGTGGAGAGGACACTATCCTGGGAGGTAGGACATGATGGAGTTCTAGTCACACCCCTGCTCCCAACCACCTTTATGAGCTGTGTTAACATCTTTGGGCCTCAGTTTCTAAATCTACAAAAACTGATGGGGGTTGGATTACATGACCTTTAAATTTGTTTCACATCTGAACACCCAGTTGCTTGGGTAACCTGATATAAAACCCTGTCTCCGTGCTTAGCTTTTGGTTCTTGATTTCTTTCCTCATATCTTTCTGAGTTTTTGTTTTTCTTTCTTGCGTTTTTCCTCCACTTTCATCTCTTCCATTTGCTTTGTATTTGCTGTATTCCTGTCTCATTCCCATGCTTTGTATTTCCCTTGAGCAGTCTTGTCTCCCACCTGCAGAGTGAAGCCTTAAGCACTTACAGCGTTCTGCTGTTAGAAATAACTGACATGACATGAGGAGCAGGCAGTGAAGGGAACTGTGCATGCAACTCTCAACTTAATAATGTGGGAAGGAGAGAACTAAAAATAAGGAAAGGAGGTGAGACTTATATAACTGATGGCATAACTCTTGATGGGCATGCTGAGAAAAGTACATGACGAGGAGGTAAACATGGCAGCAATATAAATTCAGATCAGAATTATTTACACGTCCTGTAGAATTTGAATGAGATGAAATGTGACACAGCAGTAAGATGATAATCACAAACTGTGACATTGTTTCAGAAGTTTATAATACACAAATTGACCTTATATGTGGAAGTGCGAAGGAACGTATTATAAAGAGAATGTTGATGAAAGTAAATCCATTAATTTACCCTGTTCATAAATCATGGGTTTTTCTGTTTGAAAATTAATTATATGAGTATTTATTTTATTTCTTGATATTAAAAATAATGCAAGTGAACTTTTTTAATGAAATGGAAATACTAAATGTACTACTTTGACAACCAGTACAAATCCTCACTAAAATTTCATACCCTCTATTTCTTACTGCAGGATTCAGGGTTACGGTTTCATTATGTTGCTGCTGGAGAAAGAGGCAAACCACTTATGCTGCTGCTTCACGGATTTCCAGAATTCTGGTAAATTTATCAATTAACTTTTTCTTTTGCATTAAATACTTGGCTTATCAGAGTGTCATACATATAGGGACTTTATTAATAAATGTGTTAAGCATGCTAGTGCACTAAGAAGTATTAGGCATTGAAGAAAAGAATGGAGAGGGGCAAAATACATCTACCTTACCATTTTTCCAGGGCAAAAAGTCTATGGACACCTCTTCCTGGGAAGATTTTCCCCACATGAAGATTGTTATGCAGTCTGGATTTACCTGCATAAATAAGCATAAGTCATTTTCATGTTAAACTTTTATTGTCTTCCATCTGGAGACAACTAATTTAGGTAGTAAACAATCCAGTGCAATTCAAGCATATGTATATAGACTTGTTTAGTGGAGTGCTTGACATGATTGGCTCAAAGTAAGATTTAAGTCTGAAGCATTTGTCAAATCTGCATAAAGTAACATGGGCAGTGAATTTCAGCTCAGCCACTTACTTGCTGCTGGCCCTGCACAATCATCTACAATAGGTTTGCAAAGTTTTTGTGAGGATAACAATGTCCAAATATGTGAAAGGCCTTTCACATGGCCCCAGTGAATACTCAGTTAATATTCATTTTCTTGGGCCGGCTGAGTGGTGCGTTGGTTAAGAACTGGCTTGGGATGCCAGAGGGCCCCGGTTCAGATCCCACATATGAGGGCCAGTGACACTGCCCTCTACAGCTAAGATGCTGAACAACAGCTCAACCAGGAGCTGGGCTGCCATGAGTCACTGGTGACAGCATAGGCTGCAGCCCCTGCTACAGTGGGTTGCCATGGGATACCATGTGTAGCCAGCAGCCAGCGTGAGCGGCCAGCAGCTGCAGTGAGCGGCTGTCCAGAAGCCAGCGACTGATCTGCCTCACCTGGGAAGAGCACAATGATGGTGCCAACTTGGGCCAGTGAAGCGACGTCCTTCACAACTAGACTGAAGAACAAAAAGACAGCAACTTGTCTGTTCTCCTTCCCCAATTCCCCGGCACTCTTCCCATCCCCCAATTCTCCAATAAAAATCTAAAAAAAAAAAATTCATTTTCTTCCTTCATTCCCATTCACTCAGTGTGGAGATGAGTGTACCAACACTAACATCCTCAATGCATTTATTAATAAAGCACCTTTATGCATAAAATATTAAAGTGTATTAAGGTAATATTTCTTTCAGATGTAGGTGCATTTTAAAATGAGGACATTGGATGACACAAAACCTTTAAAGCTCTAAAGCAGATGGCTATGTAATGGTGGGATTCTAGGTGTTAAGACCAACAGTAAGGGAAAAATTTGGGGAGAGGGCATTGTCCCAGAGCTTTAGAAAAATAATTTCCTGATTCTGGCTGATGATGATGATAATGATAGTTAACATTTACTATGTACCGGGTACTCTCCTCCTTCCCCTTTTTCTTCTTCTTCTTCTTTTTCTTTTTCTTCTTCTTCTTCTTCAAGATTATATTGGGGAATTGGGGGAGGGAAACAGCGTTGGGGAATCAGGGAAGGGAACAGACAAGTTGCTGTCCTTTTGTTCTTCAGTCTAGTTGTGGAGGACGTCGCCTCACTGGCCCATGTCGGCACCATCATTGCACTCTTCCCGGGCGAGGCAGATTAGTAGCTGGGCCCTGGATGGCCGCTCACGGCTGCTCTTCGCAGCTCACGCTGGCTGCCAGCCACTCACGGTAGCTTTACAACAGCCCACTGCAGCTCCACAGCAGCCTACACCATCGCCGGCGACTCACGGCAGCCCAGCTCCAGGTTGAGCTGTTGTTCAGCATCTTAGCTGTAGAGGGTGCAGTGTCACTGGCCCTCACGTGGGATCCGAACCAGGGCCCTGCTGCTCAGAGCTGGCGTCCCAAGCCAGCTCTTAACCAACGTGCCACTCGGCCGGNTTTTTTTTTTTTTTTACAATACCAAATGCTTGCAAGAATATGACCTAACTATAACTCTCACACGTTGCGGATGTGAATTCAAAATTGTACAGCCACTTTGGAAACCAGTTTGGCAGTTTCTTATAAAGTTAAATTCACACTTGCCACCTGACCCAGCAATCCTATTTCTAAGTATTTACCCAAGTGATACGAAAGCTTATGTCCCATAAAAACTTTATATGAATGTATATAGTGCCTTTATTCATAACCACCCAAAGTGGAAAAACCTCAACTGTCCCTTAACTGGAGAAGGAATAAAGAATATGGTACATCCGCTCAGTGAAACACTAATAAGCAATAAAAAAGAATACATGAATCTCAGATGCATTATGCTAAGTGAAAGAAGCTAAAAACCCAAAGGTTACATACTGTAGATTCCATTTATACAATATTCTTGCAAAGGGAAAAATAGGGACTGAGAACAGACCAGGGGTTTCCAGAGGCTTGACTTGCGGACCAGAGAGGCCTAGCTGGGCTGGTAACAACTCTGCACCTAGTTGAAGAATATCAACACACCTTTAGAAGAATGTTAGGAAGGAATAAAGTCATAATGTCTGTCACGTAGTGTGAAAATCAGTTAACTGCCTCCCCTCCCCATGATTCTATGATCCAGAAAAAGGCCCAGCAGTTCATTGGGCAAAGAGAGGATTTAAACACTAGTCAAAACAAGAGTTGCGCTTTCTTGCGGGGCACCTGAGACGGTTTGGGAGTATCACCTTCATTTCCCTACAGTTGAGCAATTTGGGAATGGGATTTCACCTTGCGGAGGAAGACCGGGTCTCCACCCTAGTCCTGGGCGGACCTCGCAGAGCTGGGGGTCCGCCCTGCGGCGCTCGGTGCCTGAGCGCAGAGGCTCCGGAGCGCGCACCGTGAGTGCGGGAGCCCGCGGCTGTGACAAGGGACGCCCGCCTGGCGCGGCTGCCCGGGATCCCGCGGAGAGACGCGCGCGGAGCCAGCGACCGCGGACCGGCGGGCGGGCCTGACGCGTCGTGGCGCTCGCTGTCTCGCTCCGGGGCCAGAGTGAGCGCCGCTGCTTGGGCGCCTCCGAAAGGCAGTCGGCCCCGCCGCAGCCAACGCCGCCCGATGGCGAGGCTGCGGGATTGCCTGCCCCGCCTGATGGTGACGATCCGGTCCCTGCTCTTCTGGTGCCTGGTCTACTGCTATTGCGGGCTCTGCGCCTCCATCTACCTGCTCAAACTTTTGTGGAGCATCGGCAGGGGACCCGCGCAGACCTTCCGGCGGGTGGCCCGGGAACACCCTCCCGCGTGCTTGAACGACCCCTCTCTGGGTACCCACTGCTACGTGCGGATCAAGGTGAAGGCCGGCGCGGGCCCGGCGGTATCGGGAGGGAACTGACGGCCGTGAGAGCAACGGGCGTGGGGCTGCACCTTCCATGACGCCCGGCCCAGCGTCCCCTAATGTCTCGGGGCTCGCAGGGCGCGCGGCGGGGAAGAGGATGATGCCACCGGGAGGCAAGAGGGGCGAAGAGTGGCGGGAGAGGGGTCGGGACTGTGCGTGTCTTTATGTTCCCTATTGGTGTGTGTGTGTGTGTGTGTGTGTGTGTGTGTGTGTGTGTGTGTGTGTGTGTGTGTGAGAGAGAGAGAGAGAGAGAGAGAGAG